ATCCCATTGGGATTTCTATCAGTTTCTCCCAGGACACAGCAGAAAGATGTGGAGCCCTGATTCCAACCTCTTCAGAGGTAACTAAGGAGAAACAGATTTCCTAGGCCTGACACTATGCCCAATGCTGGCTCAGTGAGATGACTTGGTTATTATACCTGGTAAACTTCCTTCCACCCAGAGCACCAACTTCCCAGGTCAGTGCTGTGCACTTCCGAGGGGGTGACTTTCAATCCAAGGTCATAATGATAAAGGCAGACATGGGGCCTCTAGCATATGTGGGTTGGCAGCTGGGATACTGGGAACAAGAGGATGGTGAAGTAAATAAATACTGGACATACTGAATATGGGGGCACATTGAATGCAAGAGGAGATAAGTCATTCTGAGGTCCATGACTACAGTCACCTTCACAAAATAGAATCCCTTATGGAGCCATTTACCTGCAGCTTGAATACTCCTAGGGACAGAGACCTCACTCCTCTGAGAGGCTGCATTTTCCCCTGAAAATCAGCTCAGAGAGTCTGAAATTTCTTTCTTATATTGAGCCTGGATTTGGTCTCTCTTGTCATAAAACTTGGGCCTTTATCTTAATCATAGGACCTCCCATAAAATAAGTGGAGGCAACTAATCCATAGAGTTCCTCAGTCCTCACTTCCCCAGGGTCTATGAAAGCAGCCTCATGGTCACAGAAGATGCTGCCACACTGCCCCATGAGTCTCACTGGAGCCCTGAGATGCTGGCAGAAGATGGTCATCATTTTCATTCAGGAAAATGAGACCGAGAAAGTCAAAGTGATTGACAAAGATCACACCGAACGCGAGGAAAGAATCTCCTTTCCATTTCTGAATCTGTGTTTCATCAAAAGGAAATTAATGTTGAGTCCAATTTATCAATTTGACAACCTATGTCCTTCCCATTTACCATTATGCCTAACTTTTAAGAATCTCCCCTTTGAAGGCCCCCAAACATTATTACTGATCATTAGAAAGTCGTTTATGCCTCATACAACTACATAAAATACTTTTAAAATGGGAAACTACAAGGTGAAGGATAAAAGATATTTTTCAGCCATAAGAATACAGGGAGGGGTAAGAGAAGAGGGAAGAAGAAAATCACCGAGTATTTCTCATGCAAAAACTGACATGAACTATCCTAAGGTTTATGTCTGTGTCATTGAAACAGTTGACCTTCATAGTAAATTTCAACCTGGTTCAATGTTGTGGGGCATAAAAGGGTCTGAAATAGGCACTTCAGAGCCTGTGACTGTCCTGCTCCACTTGAGGATCCACTAGATCCACTAGCTGCCAATCCCAGCTGCCACCCCCTCGGGGCATAAAAGGGTCTGAAATAGGCACTTCAGAGCCTGAGACTGTCCTGCTCCACTTGAGGATCCACTGTGGAGCTAGAATCATGTTAATGGAGCAAAAAGCACTAAATAATGAATACAGTAATGGGGTGCTGAGCACACACCTTCCTCCCCACTCAGGAATGTCCCAAAGAGGCAGGATATCTGTCTAAAGAACAGGACCAGCAGTATCAGCGGGCAGAAAAGAAGACCACCAGTATGTCCCCGTTTCTTCCAGAAGGAAACTGAAGCTACATTAATCCACTCTGAGTGCTGCTAAGTACAGGTAGTGTGGACTCAGAAGCCAGAGGGACCTCGATGATCTGCCTAGAACGTGCTCCGTTTCTCCGTTGCCTGTTCCAATCCTGCCCATCTTTTAAAGCTTTGCACAAAGTATACCCTCTTGCCTGAAACCTCCCTGTGTCTCTAGCCATCTAACATTTCCTGTCAGCAAGCATTATGCCATTGGATTTCAGGGATCCTGACACAAAAAATATACCCATGTATTCACAATACAGGAGAGATCAGCCCCTGTGCAAAGCTTCTGCTGCCCTTACCAGGAAGAGCTGAAAAGTGTACTGCCAGTAGTGAGTGGGTTTCATCCTTATCTTGGCTCAGAGCTCCTAGGAAAGGGTGGAGGGGAGCACAGCATGATCCTAAGATCAGACCGGTTAGGAGAAGGGGGCAGTACAGAGGTCCCAGGGAGGTGCCTCATCAGGGCGGCAGGTCTGCAGGAGGGAGCCTAGAGGGCAGGAAGAGCCCACACAGGGGAAGATGTGGGGGATTTAAAGTACATCTGAGAGGTTTAGGCAAGTGAGACCAACTTTCCAATACAGATACCATTTTCTCCTCAAAATCGCCTTGCAAGTTAGATTCAAAAAACCCTTTGGTAGATGAGAACACTGCAATTCAGGGGGACAAGGACGCGTGTCAGAAGTCCCACAGTGGTAAGAGCAGGAGCTGATGTTCTAGCTGCATCAGTCTGCCTCTCCATCGGAGCTGTGACTTTTACCTGCTGCCTCTTCTAGACTTTTAGCAATGCTGCAATCATTCATGGAAAAACCACCATCACCATCAGATGCTTCTAGGACCCTGTGGGAAGAGCAGGCTGGAGCCACGGCAGGCCATTCAGGCAGCCCAGATATTTCCCAACAAAACTGTATTACGTTGAATAGCTATTTTAGAGTCAGACAAACAGAGAATTCCCATTAAAAGAAAGTGCTGGGGCTTTTCATAAATCCGTACTACAGGGTAGAGTCATTCATAGATTTATTAAATATCCCTTGAGCGGCTGTGAGGTGCCTGGCTTTCATGTACCAGACCCTGGGCCTGCTCCGGTAACACAAGGACCTCAGGAAGCTCCTGGCAGCAATGGGGAAGGAGGAGGATTCCCACTGTGTGGTAAGGGCTATGAAGAGAGGAATGATGGGCCGTGAGGGTACAAGGTAGGGGTGCTCTGCTGACACTGTTCAGAGCAGACATCCAGAAGGTCTTCCTGAGGGCACAGAGCTTGAAGCTAAGCTGGCCTGTTATGGGACAGCTGCAGAGGGTAGGGGCATTGGGGTGCGGGGGGGCTGGCTCCTTCAGGAAACTGTAGAGTTCGGTGGAGCTGGACCAAGAGGAGGCGGTCAGAGACATAGACTGAGGCTGGGACCCGAGTGCTGTGTAGGCTAAAGAACTTGTATTATTTTTTTTTTATTTTTTAGCTATTGAGCATGGAGATGGTAAGGCCAGGTTGGTTAGTAAATTCACTAAAATGAAGGTGGCAAATGAGGCATATTTCCTCTAGTATTTACCCCCTTTAGGGGCCAGTGAGGCAATGTAGGCACAAATGGAATCAGGGGAGCTGTGTCCAGGGGGCTAGACCAGCTGAAACTGGAAAGACCTGTGTCTCAGCGACAAGGAGGCCCAATTAAATGCAAGGGCCTCAGGGAGAAAAATTACTTTTCCCTGAGTGGCACCCATTGCATAATCTCTACTATGTTTCCAGACGTGGGTTTTTGGAAAGGGGCCCATATTTAGGTGGTTTTTTTTCTTCCCATTAAAACTAACCTGAATTGGGTTTTGGAAGCAGTACTTAGGTGGAGTATGGTGGTTTCAGAAAGATCCTCACCCAGTGGGGGTAGAGAAATGGAAACTCAGCAAAAAGAAATTTCATAAGTGCAAAAGGGAGGGGGAGCAGGAGGGAGTAAGAATTAGACCAGAAAGACTTCCCAACTCAGAGAATCCAAAAGCTCAGATGTGGAAGGACATCAAGAGCTCACTTGGCTTCTGCCAGTCCCATGTTCGAATCTCCCACAGTCCTGCTGACGGGCAGTCTCCCAGGCTGGGGAGGACACCCTCTCAGCTGCCGGCTCCTCCACCCTTGCACAGCCCTGCCCCTCAGCAGCTCACCCTCACTGGAGCTGGAACTGGCTTCCTTGCCCCCACTGGTCCTAGTTCCCTGAGCTGGCTGGCACAGAGCACCACAGTCCCCCTCCGTACGTGGTGCACTGGACTCCCATCTCCACATTCTCTTTTTCATGGTTTCTTTTTTTTCCAGGTAAAACATTTCCAAGTCCTTCAGCTGCTCCTCATGGGATGGGGTTTCAAACCCCCTTATCAATCTGATCTTGAAACACACAGGTGTGCCTTTATGTCTCCCACAGTGTGGGGTCCAGACCTAAAACAATGTTCCAGAGAGAGTCATTTCTCCCAACAGCTCCCTAGGGCCAGAGCTGGGATTCTTGAGGGTCTGCAGGACTTTAAGACCATACTCTTTCCACCCATTGCTGAGTTGACTGACATCAATAGTGATTAAACATCCTAGGTTCTTTTTTTGTTAGTTTGTTTGTCTTACATACACTGTGGCAAAATATCATGTCCCCCTGCTCAAGAGCCTTCACTGGCCCCGGCAGTACACACTTAATTATACAAAGTGTCCCCCCCAAAATGTATACACACTTTAACAGTGGAGAGCTTGACTTTGAAAATAAAATGTATTTTAATAACTACTGCCTTTATCATCATTCAAAGTGTGTGTATACATTTTTGGGGACACCCTATACAGAGGGGTCAAAGTGCCAAGTGGAGGTCCTACATGTAGGTCTGGGCCTAGAGTGCTCTGGGACTGTACCTCAGAGCATGAAATTTCCTTTCTCTCTCGCATTTCCAGGAATCCCACCAGCACATGGGGTCCGGATGCAATGGACTTCTGGGTCCTCCGTAAACCACTACTCATGGCCTTTCCCAGTTTTCTGGCAACTGGCTGGACCCTTACACAGTGTAAAGGTTTTGACTAGCCCTTCTTCTATTGTCCCTCTGAAACTTCTCAACCACTTCCAAGTTGGATGGCCAAAAATCTTCCCAGAGCAAAGACACTGTCCCCTAAAATCTTTGGCTGAAGAACACCTGAAACCTCCAATCCCTTGGACATGGTGGTTTGCACAATCCAACTCACTGCCACTCATGAAGCCAGACCTTCATCTAGATCGGCAGCCCCACCAGTCTGTCCCGTATGCTTCCTTCCCTCTGACCCACTGAGGAGTCTCAGCATGCAGTCCCCAGTGAAGCCACATGGGTCATGACCCGTATCCAGAAGAGGAGTCCCTTTCCTCTGGCTGCAGACATATAAGCACAGGTCACGGGAACCTGGCAGTAGAAAGGAGATGTACTTACACTTACAGGTTGACTTTTTGGCACATCATAAACACCTTCCTTCTTTTGGCTGGTGGGAACCTACGGAAAGAAAAAAATTCAACACAGTCAAGACACTCTGGTGTTCCATTTTAAAAGAACAAAGCAACCAGAAATCAACCCTAAGGGGACCCTAGGGGATATGTGTGTGTGAGAGAACGGCTTTGGGGTCCCAGGGGACAGCTCCAAGGGGCTGTGATAGCAGCAGGCAGGAGGGCTGTGTGTGGTAATCATTTCACACATGTCTGCAGGCTGCCTCTGCCTTTGGACTCCTTACAGAATCACAGAACCACAGAACAGGAAGCTGCAGAGACCTCAGCAATCTTGTGGTGAAACACATAATCCTCATTTCACCAAAGACAAAACTGAGGCCCAGGGACGTTCTCCGAGTTGCCCAAAGTGATTAAACACAGTTTGCAGCTGAGCTTATACTGTTCAACCCTAAGACTGAGATCCAGGCTATTTAAAATATAGCAAGTATTAAGGTCCTCGTACAAAGTTCCACTTCTGTTGGGATCATGCGTGAGCCACTGGGTAATTACCAAAGGCTTTGTTCAAGGAAAGGACCCAGAAATTATATGAAAAGCATGAGACTAGAATCCAGAAAAAAAATATCAATTTTTAAAAACACATATCTGTGTCTTCTCTCTCTCTCTTCTCTTAGTCATCCATCCTGTCTGATTGGGCCACATGGTGATGGTAACACCCTAAGCCGGTCACTTAGCTCCTCTGAGCTGCATGCTTAAAAATAGGTGCTATCGGCTCTGCTTCTCACTCTGATTATTGTGAAGATCAAATGAGAAAATAGACAGTCAATAATCAAAATCTACTAGGCACCATAATATGGAAAAATGTTAGAATGATAGCTTCTTTTATCGTGAGTGCATTATACACACACACACACACACATACACACACATTTTATAATACTTAACAACAGTGGGTACAGTGAATACTGCTCTCATTTGTCAATCAAGGGCTTTGTACTAAAATGTTCCAAATTGAGAGTAATCATTGGTTGTCATTCCCCAGCACCTAGCAGAGCAGAGTTTAGCCCACTGATGGGATCAGCCAGTAGAGGTTGCAGAATTGTCTGATAACATGTCTTTCCTCAGACTGGGGGCTCCCTAAGAGCAGGCATACTGCCTAACACCCAGTAGGCCTTCAGTCATGTCTGCTGGGTAAATGTTCCATAGAGAAATGTGGGAAATGGTGAAGAAAAAAAGTATATTTTAGGCTTGGCTAGGTAACCAAACCATCCTTCAAGAAGTAAGAATTTGAGCTTATTCCTTGAGTTCCTTTGTCATTTTCACTCTCATTTAACTTAAAATCCTTACAATAACACTAAGAAATTGGTACTGTATCCTCCACTTGAAGTAGTGGAAAGTGAGACTCAGAGATGTTCAGGAACTTTCCTCAAAGCTCCATAGCCAGGAAGTGATCAGATTCCAACTCAGCTCCTTCTGGCTACCAAACAAGACATTTATTCCGAACAGTGTGAACTATTGTTGACTATGTGCCAGCACTATTCTGAACATTTGTTTACAGGCATTCCAATATAATCCTCAGGACAAGTCAATCAGGGAGGGATGACAACCGGAAAAGTGCGGCCAGAGAGAGTCCTGCCAGAGGGTGGAGCCTAGGCAGATGGCCTTTTCACTACTATACTGTATAGACAGCTGTATCTGGCTCTTGGCCCCACCATTCTTACAGCTGTTCCAGGGGCTTCTTTTTCTCTGCCATCACATTCTGCACTCCCAGAAGCTCCTGCACATTCTTGCAGACAGTGGGACTATGCGTGAGCATGGCTGTGCAAAAGAGGCACTTGAGAACCACTCTTGCAAACCTTCGTTTGCAGGTAGCCAATGAAGAATGCAATTTTCTTTGCTCCTGATAACTGGGCGCCATCGAAAAGGAATCCTAGAAGAATGCCCACAGAGTCCTTGTTAATGAGGGCCAATAAATTCCGAGCCCGCACTTGAATTCCACGAGCTCACCCTTTCCTGAGCACAACAAACAGCATTCCTGCTCCTGTAATTCACTGTGGGCACTTAGCAAGCCGAACCGCTGCTGACTCTCAATTATGCCTGCAAATGGGGGAAAAGCGGCAGGATGGATAAACCCAAACTGTGCATAATTGAAAAAGCTTTTCTGCTTTCTCTCCCATGGGTGCGATATCAATCTGCCTGTTTGTCCTTTAAGAGTTATCTCAGCCCGGACATCTTCTTGGGAGCCTCGCCTGACTCCCCAGGCTGCTTCTGAACCTTTCTCTGTAGTCTTGTACCCTCTGGTGCATCCTTTCATTAAAAAACAAAAGTTGCCAGGTACCTATTTTGATTCATGCACTGTACTTTGACTGGAATGATGATGGAAAACGGAGACGGATATGGCCCCCGATTGCTCAGTCTCTTGGCTTGCTGGGGAGATGGGAGAAACCAGGCTGCTACAGGGAAGTGGGAAAGAGACTTTCTCTTACATAGGACTCGGGAGACCACACTGCAGCTGCCGGGTCCTCTGTCTTCCTGCTGCTCTGCAAGCTTGCTGAGGGCAGGGCTGATATTTCTTATCCTTGTTCCCCCATCTGTAAACACTGGTTAGCAATAAACCTCTAAGCATCCAACATATACCACGTGTGTGCTGAGGTCAGGACACTGGCCGAGGTGCTCAAGGGATGAGGACCAGAAAGAGCAGTGGTCCTGGCTCTCTTCTCCCCTTGGCGGGCCCATGCCATCGGTAGACCAATTTTGGAAAAATGATGTTTGGGAGTGACAGTGGTTCTGGACCAAGAGGAAGCGGGAGGTCTGGTTCCTAATCCTGGCTCTGCCATAGGCCATGTCACCTCAGAGGTCACTTTGCTCTCTGCACTCAGTGCCCTCATCTGGTTGTCATGAGCACCCAAGGGGTTGCCTATAAACTCCCTGAGGGTGGAGACCATGCCGTGGTCACCAGTACATCCCCATGGACCGGGCACTTGCTAGGTGCTCAATAAATAATTACTTTTTAAATGAACCAATTAATAGATGAGATATGACTCTAAAACTATATATTCAGTACTGTCCATACAGAAGACACTTTCAGTTCAGCAGCATATTAGTAGTGTGGAGAGGCAGTGACATAGGACTAGAGACTTCCATTTTAAAGTAATGATACTTGACACATCGTGGGTGATTAAAAATGACTTTTGAAAGAACAAAATTGGGGCATGCCTGCACAGGAAGCTGTGATCTCATTCAGGCGGGAGGCTTATTAAGAAACGAAAGAACTCTGGATTCAGAATCAGAGGCTCTGGCCTTGGACCCAGCACTCAGATTGGAGGACTTGACTTTCTTCCATTTAAAATGATTGCCATCGCAACTGTCATCATAGCTGTTTTCATCTCACCGAGGTACTGGAAGGGTCAAAACTGAGAACCGTGTAAAAATGCTTTGAACCACAAGGCTCTGTGTCGTTTTAAAGGGATGGCTGCTAACTTTTTGAGGCATGCAAAGAAAAAGACAATTACGATGATCAATCTGGTTGGGAAACGAGACTGGTGAACCTCAAAGAGAGGTTACTTTACCCAAGAGCCCCTACCTCCTGTTGGCTGGAGTTATCAACAGCACAGCTGGGAGCAGCTGCAGCTCTCGGACAAGATGGGGGTGAGCGAGCCATGTTCCCCTTCAGTTAACACATCATTGTCAGACAGCTGGGCAATAGCAGATGCTGACAACATTGGGGAGTGAGGGGAACTCACATCTACATGGAGCCTACTAGGTCCAAGTGCTGTCCTTCTTATTTTACATCTTCACATCACTTCTAGAAGCAGATGATATCATATCCCTATTTGTAGCTCAGGAAATTGAGATGCGGAAGTTATGTACTTCCCTCAGGGTCATCAAATAGTTAAAGGATTAGGCCCTAGTCCCCTTTCCTTCCTTCCAGAAAAGGGGAGGTGGAACTGAGTCTGAGTTCAAGCTGGGCTAGGCTGAAGTATGAGGAACACTGCAATCTACTCAGGAGGAAGAGCTATGCAACACTTGGAGGCCCTTAAAAAATAATGAGGTTCCTAATTGCAGCTCCTTAAAAGCCCAGACCTATCTTTAGATCCAAGAGTTTATCTTTTGTTAAGCAAATCCAGGCCCAGCCAGGCAATTGCAAAAAAGGAAAATGACCAGAGGCCTTTCCAATAGGGGGCGGTAAAATATTCATTCTCTTAAATGGTACCTTCCTGTTCATGATGGACAGACAGGGAGATTGGAGGTCAGAACTGTTAGAACAAGTGTGATTTTTAGATAGTGACTTGAAGATGCACAGAATCTGATTGTGAGATTCAGCATCAGCATTTTCTGAGCTAAGGAGAGCCTCAGGATTAATCTATTCATTTGCAGAGTCACACAGATGTGGGTATGAATGGGGAGTTTTACTTCTTGTAGCTCCGCAACCCTGTGAGCCTCACTTGCCTCATCTGTAATGTGGAAATAATGGCTCAAGCCACATCAGGCTTCTGTGAGGGATATTAAGATACTGCATATAAACCCTCATTCACAGAACAGCCCACAATCAGCACTCAACAAAAGTTACCAAACACACACACACACACACACACGCACACGCACACACACACGCACACGCACACGCACACGCACATTTACCACACACACACACACACACACACACACACACACACACACACGCACACGCACACGCACATACACACACCATTCCTGTGCCTGTAAAACATGCTCCTCTGAAGAATCACAAGCCTATGATGAGGAAACTAGTTGCAAAGAGCAGAAAAGGGCATTGCCTGAGAGATCCCTCAGTTTCATTGACTCATTTTACAGATGAGTAAACTGAGGCCCAGAGGAGAAAAGGAACTTGACAAGGTACAGTAATGGCTGAGTTGGTAGTACTGGTACTTAAGATCCTGAATTCACATATGATGGGCTCAGTGTGTGACCCAGATGAAGCCTCTTCTATACTTTCTCCTCATGAGCTTGTTTTTTTCTCATGCCAACATGTGCATTGGGGAGAAAGTATTCCCAAATTTTTTCATTGGGGAAGCTGAGTCTCTGAGAGGGCAAGTAACCTGCCCAGTACCACTCAGACAAAGGTTGTTGGTGACAGAGCCATAACTAGTATCCAGTTCTCCCCTTGCCTAAACCCCCTTCCCCTACACTCCCCACAGGGTACAACAGGAGTCCTGCCAACTACAACTAACTCTGAATTCAGAAACCTCTTATATTGAAGGGTCTATTATTTTAAAAGGTGCTCTCTACATTGTATATATGTACCACAGCTTTTTTATCCACTCATCTATTGATGGGAGTCTGGGTGAAAAGCGTGAAGGGGTTGACAAGTACAGACTGGTAGTTACAGTATAGTCATGGGGATGTAAAGTACAGCATAGCAAATACAGTCAATGATATTGGAATAACTATGCATGCCGACAGTGGGTGCTGGAAATATCAGGAGGAACGCTTTGTAAAGTATTTGACTATCGAACCACTATGCTGTACACTTGAAACTAATACAGAATAATATTGAATATAAACTGCAATTAAAAATAAAAATTAAGAAAAGGGAAAAAATGTGAAAAACAAAAGGTGCTCTCTCCTCCGAGGAATATTGGTTCATGGTTCCTTTGGCCCCATATTCAGGTACTGCCAGGTTGTACTTGAATATCTGCCACTGAAGACAAAGATGCAACTTATCTGTTTGAAGACAGAAACTTTGTCAGTGATGATTTTAAACAAAACCTCCAAGTACAACCTCACACTTGGATCCAATCCAGACAGATCAGGTGGATAAACATACAATGTGGGTGTCAGGGACACTGCCCCCTGCACTGAAAAATCTGTGTATACCTTTTGACTCCCTGAAAACAGTTGTCCTTGGGTATTTATCAGGAATTGGTTCCAGGACACCACCCTCTCCCCCTCCCCAACTGGACACCAAAATTGGTGTATGCTAAGTCCCCTGTATAGAATGGCATAGATCAATGCATACAGTCAGCCCTCTGCATCTGCGGATTGCCAACCAAAAATCAAAAACAGAACAGGTATTTATTGAATGAAATCCACATATAAATGGACTCATGTAGTTTAAACCCATTGGTTCAAGGGTCAACAGTGCTTAGATTATTATTCCACAGGGCTGGTTAAAACTGAGCACTTGATGGAGCCAACATTATACTTTGGTCATTTAGAATTCCATGCATTTGATGCAAACTGAAAATCTGTTTTGTTTTTATTACACAAGTAATGTGCGCCCAAGGCAGAATAACAGACCACACAACTAAGTAAATTAAGAAAATTAAAATCACTTATGAAATACATTAAAATTGTTCCTATGTCTCTAATGTTTATATTCAAATGAGGACTGAAATTCTAATTAGTGAAAACTGGAGGTCGTCATATTTGTTTGATGTGTTGCTAGGCTGCAATTACTCAAACTCTTTGATGGAAATGCATGGGGAAGAGCATGAGCTTAGCCTTTCACACCCTTGCCTGGGTTTGATCTCAGCCCTAAATAACTGTACAACCCTGAGAAAGCTACTCAACTTCTCTGAGTCTCAGCTTCCCCTTGTAAAAGTGGAATTCGAATGCCTACTTCATCGAATACTTCTGAGAATGAAATGGATTAAAAGTGTGTTCGTGGTTTTTCACATAAGCAGACATTTAATTTAGAAAAATGGAATAGCTGATGTTTGAGTCAACTGGAAATAGTTAAGATCCATTAGAAGTTAAAACACTGTACCCAACTGGCCATTAACCATTCCATGATCAGGTATGAAAATTGCTGGTAAGTTGGAGGGAAGCCGAAAGCAGAGGTATCTTAACCAGCCTGGAATGACTGCGTGGAGTGTGTGCGGAGAGAGCCCTGGTCCTTCAGACCCTGCAGAACATCTACTGGTGATGGCGCAACGCTGAGAGAGAAGCGATTTTATACCTGATAAATGTTTTCTTCCGTTTCGGGGTCACGGATTGGCTCGTGTCCAGCCTCAAACACAATGTACTATCATGCAGCAGCCAGAGAGGAAAGGTCAGAGGAAAAAGAAAGAGGGGAAAAAAAGGCATTTGGAATTTAAGATACAAATCACAGTGAGCATTAAAGAAACGGGCACAAGAGAACACATCTTAGTGAGACCACTGAATTACTGAGGTACCGGTGGGCCTCGCACATTTCTGCCTTTTCTAAAGGAATCTGCAAATGGCTGGCAGTCAGTCCTTCGTGATGATTGCACGGGGCCCAGCAGCTCTTCTGGAGTCACAGCCTCCTCACTCAGTGGCATTTGTCTCAGTACTGCCTGCCTGTGTGGCATGCTGAGTGGGAATGACGTCTCCTGGGAATGCCTGGGTCCCAACTTTGTAAACTTTGGGTCACAGCAGTCGCCCCCCTTTGCTCAAGGCTCAGGTTCCTAAGTCAACTCTGAAGTGCTCATAAGCCCCAAATTCCCTCGTTCCATAAATACCACCCGGATTTCATTCTCAGTTTTAAGCATTAGATATCAGATTGCCCATGTGCATGTTTGGGACTCTAAAGGACAGGCCCATTTCTAAAGGCCAACATTCTTCATTCTCTGGAGCCGGTTAGCCAAGGGCTGAGCTCGCATTATAAACAAATCCTCACCTCAGCATTCACTGTAAAGCAAGGCCGTCATTAAGTGCATTTGACTTCTGTTAGTCTTATGTGCTAGATACTTCTTCCACTACAAGTTATCCATATTATGCTGCCTTTAAAAATCCATATTATCTTACTTTCGGCATAGCAGCTTTCTGTGTGAAAATATGCATTCACACCTATGCATGTGTGACACACACGTATCTAGAACCCACGTGCGTCCCAGTTAGAATACAAGTTTCAGGTTTTCTTTTATGTCCAGCAAGTACATCTTTGGGCTTCTTTCTCTCCTTGGGAATAAGCATTTGGGGTGAGGGGCGGAGGCCACCTCTTCCTTTTTCCCTGGACCTGTTTGAGCAGAGCACATACCTGAGCCCAAGAGAAGTCATGTCTCTACACACACCTGGGCTGCAACCCTGAAGAGCGTGCAGAGAAAACTGTGGGCTGCGATGTCTCTAGGATCTCCCATTCCCTCCTCACAACAGCCCCTGGGCACCAGCTAGTTCATCAGAGGGGCGGCCTGGCTGATCAAGCTGGGAGAGACTTCCCACAGCCTTTCTGAAGCTTACAAACCCAGCCTTTGGGTTTGCATTCAAATGTCGTCAGAACGTCAGTCCCCATCTCCAGTTCTTGACTCAGAGAAACCACCTCATTATTCAGTCTCTCTCATTAACTCAGAATATTCAAGAGACTCATGAAGACGTTCAGCTCCAGGATCAGACATTTACAGCTTGTGGAGGGGGCTGAGGCAAGGCAAGATGGGAAAGCACATCACCACACCCCATGTCACTGATGCTGGTCACACTTCGGCTCCTTTTCATGGAAACTGGCTCCTGTGGCGGCTGGCAGCCCTCACCCTCAGAAACCACCTTGTCCCTGTCTAGGCTCCGCAGGCAGCCGATGCTTCAGGTCTCGGATGCAGTGTCTATACCACAGGCCTAGCCATTCCGGACCCTAAAAACCCGTTTGGTTTCAGAAATTACCTGGTACACAGGATCTTCAACATCCTCTTCCAGAATTGTCTACGGCAGAGCGAGGGCAGGGAAGGTGAGAGCAGAGGACATAAGGAGAGATGTGAGACTGGATTCAGAAGTTACAGGACAGTAAAGAAGCCAGTTCTGCATAGGATAGGCTGGGGGGCCATCAGGTAGAAAACACACAGAAAAAAAACAACAAAACCCTTGCAGCCACCCCCACCCACTGTAACAACAGCAAGAGCAATTGTGTTTCTTTCCTTGTCCTCCCCTGATCTTCCTCTGGATTCAAGATTTCCCTTTCTCTTACATGTCTAGAATTTCAGAGAATAAGGGATCATTTCTCACGGCTTGCTTCTGAGCTAGTAATTTACACGACAGCCTTTCATCTGTATTGCTATTTGGAAGCAGGAAGAGAAGCCCTGACTGTCAGTTTTCACATCTATTTATTTTAAGCCCCAGTCTTCCCCGGTACCGGGATAAACTCACAGCTATACCTGATACACAGCTTGTTCACACTGCTTATCCTTTTGTGCCTTTTTCTCCAACTCTTCTCTTTGCTTCAATTCGTAAATAAGTTGAAAGAGATCTCTCAAGTCCAGAATAACAGGTTCAGCCTGGAGTGGAAGGTGGTAAAACACATTATTCATAAGGGGATGCGCCTGAGCTACGAAGACCCACTTCTGTGTGCTCTGGCTACAACCCACAGCTCTTCCCTTTCCCATTAAACTGAAAGCATTCCATCTTTAATTAACTCTACCTTGTTTGTATTGGTTTAGTAAATTGCATCTAGGCTAAAGTTCATTTCTCCAACTAATTATATTTGTAAATTCATAATAATCACAGGCGTAAAAGGCAATGCTTTTATTTATTAGTAATTTCGGATACGATAAAATTAGGGTAGGCCTTATGCAAAGTGGCTATTTGTTTTCTCTTATTTTCTTTTTAAATGAGGCTATGAACACAAGGAAACTTATTTGTATACTGTGCCTCCAAATCTGCTTAATCAGAAAGGAAAATAGTGAGTCCTTAGGAAATACCCATTAGTAAAAACAACAACAAAACCGGATGGGCATGAGCATGTTTTCCCGCTTCCAGGCTGTGTATCTTTTCTCGATGGGAGCCTGAGTACCGGCATCGCCGAGGCAAACATCACAGTGGGCTTCCAGAGAGCAGCAGTGCGACTGTCCCCTCAAGTCACAAGGGAAGGTGCCCTCTTTGGAGGGGGTACTCACCGCCTGGGCTGTTTTTATGGCCACAAATCTGTGGTTCCCTTCCTTCCCACACACGTAGCCAAAGGCCCGGTGGTCTGTGATGTCCTTTGCAATGTAGGAAATTTCGTGAACAGCATGGTGATGCTGAAGGGCCTGCGAGAGACAAAAGGAAGAGCATCTTTGAGGGGACTTGCCCTTCGAGCTGTTAATCAATGAGAGATGCATTTCAGCTACGTGTGAACAGGCCCGCAGGGCTTGGGAAAAGCTGTTTGGTCCAGATGGAAGGAAAGAGAGCTGTGCCTGCCCGTGAGAGAGGGAGGCTCCCCTCCAAGGTCTTAGGGCTGTGACCAGAGAGGTAAACAGGGCTGCTCATACGCCGGCTGAGCGTCTGTGTGCAGGCTTCTTTCAGCCTGCCGAGCCAGTCAGCTCCACTCAGTGGCGGAGGTTTCTGCTACATCCTTCTTCCTGACACAGCCCAGCTCGAGTTCTGGCTGGATATGTAACACACTCACATACCAGGCGGAAGACCTACCCTGCACGGCCACAGGGGCGCCATTCACAATCATAGAACCGTGCCTTTGCATGGCTAGGATGTTCTCACAGATGGTGACTGAGTGTCTTGAGCAACAAACCCCTTTCTCTAACTTGTCCAAAGTCACCATCTAGGCTAGACGTGGGGTCCCCCATATCTCAGGCTGTTCACGAATTGGTCCCTCTCTCTCTGTCTGCCTGTTCTTTTATCCACTGGTTCGAATCTTTTCCTCTTTCAAAGGCCATTTGAAATAGCACCACCTCGTGACACCTCCCCTGAGCGAGGCTCGCTCTCCCTCTCCCTGCAGGAGTAACTCCTCCCTTCTGTGTTTCCATGGAATGTCAGTCCCAGTGATGGTGAAACTCCTGATGGACTCTTCACATACAGCTCCCCAGGGGCCTGCTTCCCAAGACCTTCTTCTCTGACACATTTGCCTGGCCCCTTGCCTGTCTTCCCCACCAGGTCTGTCTTCCTCATCTCTGTCACCCCAGAACTTGCACTGTGCCTGGCCCAAGTTGTTGAATAAGGTAAACTGGGATAGCTGGTAATTTGAAAATCTTTTGAAACTGACCTCCCTGCCTTGATTGTCTAAGCTTCAACAAATAATGTTCACCATCCTGTTGGTGATAGTGACCTTTACAACCATTTGCCTATTAAGTGTACCTAAAAAAATGCTCATTAAACAGTACTCTGTGTACAGGAATATGTATGCACCTGCTTAAGATCCTTATAACTTGAAGGACCTTTTTATCATGCTGGCTATTAAGAAGCTTGAATTCTAGCCACTGTGTGGACATAAGGCACTCACTATATGGGCCTCAGCGCATTCCTCTATCAAATGAGATGTTTGTATCAGATCAGTGACTCCTAATCCAAAGCCCTCGACCTACTGGGTCATTAAAGGCAAATGAAAATGCCAAGTTCATTTGGGATTGTACCAGGTAGCTGTGCTCCTTAGCTAATCTTAGAGCAGATTCTCATTGGAAATTCATTATGGGTTCAAATAATTCAAATAGGAAAGTGAATGACTATCAATGCATTCTATTTTTTTGGGGGGAACACAAATCTTCCTCCTTACTGAGCCCATGGATAATTCAAATAGGAAAGTGAATGACTATCAATGCATTATTTTTTGGGGGGGACACAAATCTTCCTCCTTACTGAGCCCATGAAGGAAGACATGGCACACAATGGGAACTATGTCATGAAAACCTCGGGAACCACTGGACTAGATGTTCTCTAAGGTCTTATTCTATTTCCCTGGATCCGTGAGCCATCAGAACCTCATAGCACACAACCAGCCTCTGAGGACAGTGGACATCTGCTTCTCATGCCGGTCATCACCTTAGTTCTGGACCACTGGCCCGGGTCTTCCAAAACATCTCTTCCCAGGCTGGTACCACCTTTTTAGGCTTCTGACTGTGAATCATCCCTGCAGAATCTGCCGCCACACCTTACCCTTCCCGATTCTGACCATTCACTAACCTCTGTATTCCCCTTGCGAGGCTCCCTTCAGCATCATACCCTGTCCAGGTTGCCCACTGCCCACTGGACTTCATGCCTGGATGGTGTTGTCAGTGCCCAGTATCCCTAGCCACTATAGTGGACCTCACTGTGTAATTCCAGTGGATTTCAACAAAAACAAGGTTGGTGAAGAAAGCAGTGTTTGTTAGGAGAATAATCAGAATCCATTCATCCTTGTTTTATTAAGAGCACATATTTAGCCAGCAGAAGAAAACTGCTCAAAAAGCGGTAGCTTTTTCATGGTGTTAATGATGTAAAATTGATGAGACTTATATTCACACTACGTGGGGGTATTGATTTATAGGCTTTTGTGAGCGCCAATGGTATGCAGCAGGGGAAGTGGGAGACAAAGACTTTCTCCTCTCCCTTTCCTGAAAGTAGTCCTCTCTCTGCATAATGTGGAGGATGTTATCCATGTCTCCTATTAAATCAAAGTTTGACGACAGTAGCTTATTGATTGCCAAGTGGAATATTGCTCTAAAATTAAACCACGATTAGAAGTCTTCCTGGTGGAATTAGATTTGGCGATGATTGTGCAATAGTAACATATCACCTACGATGCAAGGCAGCAGACAGAGATGATGTAATTTACCTGAGAATCCTCATTAAGTGTTTTAAAATCAAAACATTTTTAATGCCTGATGATACCTCATATTGCCTTGCAAAGTGTAGCTGTGTGTGTGCATAAAGTGCTTAAAGATATTTGTAACATTGTCTTTTTCCACAGTTAATTTTATGACATGTTAAAAAGGAATGCTCAGAAAGTGGCTCATTCATTTGGAAACTAAGAGTCCGTGAGGGGATGTGTCTCCACTTTCTACAACCTTAACCGTGCAGATATAATATAGACACTTGGAAATACAAATACATTAGAATCCTGCTAATCCCACAGTCGTATTATCGCATTCATCTTGGCAACTCAGAGGATCTTGCAAATACTTGTTCATTGAGCCTCAAAATTGCTTCGGGTCTTCCAGTAGATTTTATCAGCACAATCAAAGATAGTTGGAGCCTTAAACATCATCTACTTCAACTCTGAGTTTATTCATAAAAGAACTGAGAGAATTCTGGCAGGCCCAGTACTAAACCCAGGTCCTATTCTCCCTACTCAGGGTGACACAGAATGGAGAAAAGGAAACAAGATTACATAGAATCAAGGCCTCCTTTTCTTAGACTCCTGGCTCCCTAGTCAGGTCAAGGGCACACGCCTCGGCTGCAGGCTTGGTCCCCGGCCCCGGTCAAGGTGCATGTGAGAGGCAACCAGTTGATGTGTCTCTCTCACAAAACCATGACCCCTGACAAACTGGGATGAAAAAGGGATTGATTGCTGGATAGGGAAGCACAGCTGAGGCTGTTCTGGATTTCAGCAGGTATCTGAGGTCAGAGAAGGGCATAAATCAGGTCTGAGTAAAGGCCAGCTATAAGGATCTTAAAGAAAAAGGACAAGCCAGCATGATCTGGAAGTCACTCTCGGAAGCCCAGCCCTCCGTGGGAAGATGAGGTGAGGGAGAGAAGCATTGCTTCATCCCAGGTTTCTGTGGGGAGTTCCTGGGACCTCATGGGTTGTTCTGGAAGCATCTGAAATTCCCAGGCTTGAGGGAAATGGGGAGGATTCTGGTCATCCTTCTTCCACATCTCTTTTGAAAACACAATTTTTGTTTTGGAAAAACTTAGTCTAGATATTAAAGCACTGCCAAAAATCAAAGCCAGTTTCAGGTTTTAAAAATAGAGGCTTCACCCTGGCTAGTGTGGCTAAGTTGGTTGGGTATTGCCCCATGAACCAAAATGCTGCTGGTTCGATTCCCCAGTCAGGGTACAGGCCTGGGTTGCAGGCTCTATCCTTGCTAGGAGGAGTGCAGGAGGCAGCCAATTGATGTTTCGCTCTCATGTCAATGTTTCTCTCTCCCTCTTCCTCTCCCTCTCCCTTCCTCTCTCTCTCTCAAAAATCAATAAAAATTCTTAACAAAAAAGAGTCTTCAAGAACACCCCATCTCTCTGCCACAGCTTTACTTACTCTTCCTGCTCAGAACCCTCTGCATTACTTTGTGGATGAAAATTGTTACTGAACAATTCCAAGGGCAATTCAGAGATCAAACTCCTCAATCCAGTCTGATCTTCCTTTTGTGAGTGAACTTCAGGGTAACCTTGGCTGCAGATCATCTAAAGAACTCATCTCTCCCACTTCAGGGTCTGTACTTTCCCTGTGCCATTGGTCACGCTGTGCCATTGGTCATGCTGATCTCGCTCTTCAGCCCTGACTCACACTTCATCAACTCCACATAACTACATCACATCTATGCTTCGAGGTCTGGCTCCCACATCCTGCTCATCCCTGACTGTCCCATTCCCCTTAGTCGTAATACCTGTCCCTAGATCTCATTGCATTGCATTTGTTCTTCTATCTGGGATGCTTCATACTTCTTAATTTTGTTTCACATTTATCCATTCATCCAGTATTTCACACCATATGTATTTCTTGAGAAGCTGTTATGTTCCAGGTCTCATACTAAGTGCTACTTCTATCCAGATGATTAAAATGGAGTCCCTCCCTAAAGGACCTAATAATTTTATAACACAGAGAAGCAGAGACACTACAGCAAGACAAGAATGGCATCAGAGAAGTTTTGACAAAGGAGCTGACCCTGAACCCAGCATCAAAGGATAAAAGGGGAGCCCCCAGAAAATCAGGGGAAAGACCATCCTAGGCAGAAAGAACTAAGCATGCAAAACCTCTAGGTCCCAAGAACATACTTTCTCTCCACTATGGGGATGTGAGCTCCTAAAAAGAAAGATTGATTTCTGGTCCTCCTCAATCTTATCCTAGCTCCTAATACTGCTCCTTTTGAACTATAAATGCTCGATAATGTTTGATAAATTTAAAAAAAGAAGAAAGGAAGAACCAAGCATCTGAAGACATACATTGCACAAGGTAGTTGCTCAATAAATGTTCAATGAATGATTGAATTAGATTAATTCAAGACATTTCACACAGGATTCATTTTGTGAACAGAGGGTTTCGTATCTGATCATCACTAAATCTTTTTTTTTCATTAGCATTTCCATGAGCCATTTACCAATGTTTAAATGAAGTATCAAA